ACCCTCTCAGCAAGCAACAGCGAACCTTCCGTCGTGAAAGCGCTACACCTCGCTTCCTGGCAGCCAAGTAACTGACTCGTGTGGTGCATATGCTTCCCCGATGCGTTCCACTTTATCGTAATCGGTGCCTTTAAAGGAAACCCGGGATACTGTAGTAGTGCCCATGTGTGAGAGCTCCCAGACACCGCCACACAATGCTGAATTGCCTAACCTCACAGTTGACGAAGTCCTGAGGCCAGATCCTTCTAGTACGTCAGATAGACGTCATCCACTCACTTTTGTGATCCAGGTGCTCTTCCATTTCAAACTCAAATTGGGCACAATAGTTCCATTGATCCTGAAGTTCTGATAGAAAAATGCCCAACCATTTAACGATTGCTTATTTTGTAATCGAGGTGTTCCGCAGCAGTTCATAGAGGAACCACTCACTTTCGGTTCACGAATATCGTAGCATCTTAAATCGCTGCTGCCAGCTTTTTCTTGTCATCGCGAGACAGGAAAGAATTTTTTGCTCCCAAGAAATGAGTGAAATGAATGAGATGAAAAAGAAATGAACTAACAATGGACGAATATAGAAAAATACACTCAAGAATATGAAATCAGAAGGATGGCTGAATATCACTCTGTTCTTCCGTGTCATTCTTTTTGTCCAAAAAATAACAAAAAAAGTCACGTGCCTTATAGCTGACCAATTTTTGACGAGCGTCACGCTTTGCTATTGCAGCCTTAGGACAGGCTTTTGTATGTCTATTTATTTTAGGTAGTGAGCTACGAACATGACATGTGGGCGCATTTCTATAGATTTAGTTGAAGTACAAGTTAATAGCCCTGAGGAAGAACGAAAGGAAGTGAATGCAAAAGTGGGTATTCTTTACGTTTATACTCTAGGAAAGCGTGTGCTCTGCCCTACTTTGTGGGCTCTCCATAGCCCCCCCCCCTGCTCTCCACCAACAACAGTGCGGAAGAGGCATTGCTGCCCCGGTGCACTTGTGGCTACTGTACTGCTCTGATCTTATCACGTAAACGCCGTTCTTGAATCAACGGATCTTATTAGTACCTCAAACTTGGGTAATTAAACCAAAGTTGCTCAGGTGGCCTGCAACGAGGACCTGCCATGTAATGTACAATTTTTTAAAACCCTAATAGAGCATTTTACGCGGGAAAAACTAATTTTTGAACATTTATTACAAAGTTTGTAAAAAATTTTGTCTTTTTTCCCGATCATATGACTTATCGTTTGTATTGAGATTAGTGAGCAGGTTTGTAATCAATATTCAGTTGAGTTGTTTAATAGAATATGCTGGATAGACCACTACACAAAGTTTCTTCATCATTTTTTTTTCAAAATTTTGTATAAAATCCGTGTGTCTGGCATTATTTAGAGGTGAAATTAGGGAATTGTACGGTAATCTGTGAGGACACTGTGGATGCACTTCATGAACATCCACATTACCCTATCAAAATGTAGGTGGATGCTTCAGTAGGATATGAGTCGCTTTATCCTGAATAGCTGGCATTGGTTGATGAATTTCATAAGTTCCTAAGATCTATTCATTGAAGCACACCGTCTCTACAAAAATTAGCAGATTCCGTATGTGAATCTGAAATTCATGCAAAACCAGTGATACCATTGAATTTGTCGTGGTCGATTACCCATGTTAGTGAAGTTTTGCTCAGAAACCCCTACATTTTGGTTACACGAAATTTGGGTTTGTAGAATCGGCTAGCTGGCCGATCATTCGGGCCACCAGC